TTTTAGTATTGAGTAAGTTTTTCTGCACGACACGTTTTAATGATTCCATTGAAACAATTAAAAGGATCCCAATTTTCAAAGTTTTACAGGATTTAAATCTATTAGAGATCATATGAAAAAAATCATGGTTGTTGATCATTCGAAACATAGCCATTATGATCCTCTGTTGATTATAATTAATTATTTTGATCGCATTTTCTAAATTTCTGTTGTATAGTTGATAACAATTTAATTGATAAACGTCAATTTTATCAGTTTTTGCCCATTTTCGCTTCAAACCATGCATATAAATTGCTTTTTTTGAAAAATTGGCGCATGTAGAACTTTGAAAACTTGTTTTTAGCAGTATAAAATGGATTTAGTTTTATATCGTTTTCAATTGTTCCTTTTCCTGAAATATTTTTTTTGAAACGCTTTTATAAATTTTCAACCACAGAATATCAACATCTTGTTTTATTTCCAAGATTTATTTGATTCAGACAAACTAAAAGAAAACAAGACTACTCACATTAAGAGATTTTGTTAATTGTAGCAAAATTAAAAGACATAAACTATAGGATATACTTTCTTTTGAAGGGTCAGTATATTGGTGAAAAAAGTTACTTTGTCGACTTAGAGAAGTTTTCCGATAAAACTCTTATCGAATATATTCGATTATAAGATAATACAATCATTTGGAAAAAATCACACATAAAATCAATTATAAGTCCATTAAAAACTTTCAAAAGTTTTGCAAATTATAATTGTCAAAAATCAACATAATTAAATCAATTACTTCAGCCTAAACTTGGACGTAGAACGTACAAAATATTGATTAAAAAGAAATGACCTTGGCTATATTATTCCTTAATACATGATTATTTTTTGAATGTGTCAGTTATAATTTATCAATGGTTCGTAGACATCATTCTTAGGGTATGGATGGAATTGGCGGATGGATGGATGGGAGAAAACAAAACATTGTTATCGAGAAAACAAAACATTGTTTTCTCGATAACTACTCCTCTCAAAAATGAGTTTTTTATTCCAATGAATTGAACCATTTTGAAAAGTTACCCTGCATGAATGACTATGAAAATTTTTAATTGATTTTAATTGATTTTGTTGCATATAAAATTATGGCCCTCGAAATAGTCAAATTTTTGATTTTTGACTATTTTTCGAATCCGTTAGGTGTGTCTTGTGGTTTCCAATTTTGTGGGTTCTCTGCTTAAGCGCCCAGAACCTGCTGTTTATTGAGAAACATTATTTATTTTGGGAAGCCCTTTGAATGTTTTGTCGAACTTTTACCGTTTTTTTTTGGAATCTTCTCGAGTTTTTTTTATTATTTACACAATCAAACTTGAGATGAGAAGATTTACTGAAAAAACGGGTTGCGATAATTGTTTCCGCAGAAGCGGCGATTCTCTAAGTTTCTGTTAAAAAAATTAACTCCTTGAGAAAATTGATGATCTCAAAATTTCTACTCTTCCCACTTATTTTTGTAGAGGTTTTAGGCAAAAGTTTTAGGCGAAGTCCAATTTTTGAAATCACACTTTTCGTGCCGCATCAATATAGCAAATTCAATCAATATCAAACTCGTACCTTCAGTTTAAGCCGAAGGTCCTTAGTTGGTTTTTTATGGAGACAGGAGAAATGCAATTCACCTAGTTTTTTTCAACATCTAATTTTGTTTTGATTTTTTTAATATTTATGTTGCATTGCAAGTGGTGCAAAGCTCGGCTACGCCTCTGTGTTAAAAGCTGAAGTAAGCAAATCAATAAAACGCCAAGAAAAGTTCACTGAAATAAAACCAACAAGTTCAGACGAATTAAAAAAATTAATGGATTTTTATAAAACTTCAATCTTAGAAAATCGGAAAAATATTAATAAACCTGAGCTCCAGGAGGTTTGTAAATGTGGCGAGGATGGCATGAGTGTGGGGAAATGGGGGGGGGGGGGGACTTTTGGGGTGGTTCAGAGGGGAGTGATTGGTCGCGGGCGTGAGGAGGTTCCGGGGAAGTTGAGTGTTCTGCCTTTGTTTTCCAGCACAAAAAATTAGATACAGAGCATAGTTTTTCTTGTAAACTTTCTTCAAAAAGATTGAAAAAATAACAGAACTTAGTCTACGACAAAATTGATTATAATCAATTAAAATTAACTCAAGGAAACTTTTATTGAATAAAGTTACCCACATTTTACTTCGACTTGGGTTTTAGTATTGAGTATGATTTTTTGCAAGACACTTTTAATGATTCCATTGAAACAATTAAAAGGATCCCTATTTTCTAACTTTTACAGGATTTAAATCTATTAGAGATCATATCAAAAAAATCATGGTTGTTAATCATACGAAACATAGGCATAATTATCCTCTGTTGATTATAATTAATTATTTTGCTCGCATTTTCTAAATTTCTGTTGTATAGTTAAAATATTTTAATTGATTAATGTCAATTTTATCATTTTTTTTTGCCCATTTTGGTTTCAAACCATGCATATAAATTGCTTTTCTTACGTTTTTTTGAAAAAGTTGACGCATGTAGAACTTTGAAAACTTGTTTTTAGCATTATAAAATGGATTTAGTTTTATATCGTTTTCAATTGTTCCTTTTCCTGAAATATTTTTTTTCTTGAAACGCTTTAATAGTTTTTCAACCACAAAATATCAACATTTTGTTTTATTTCCAAGATTTATCTGATTCAGACGAACTAAATGGTGACAAGATTACTCAAATTAAGAGATTTTTTTGTTAATTGTAGCAAAACTAAAAGACATAAGCTATAGGATATTCTTTTGAAGAGTCATTATTTTGATGAAAAAACTTGCTATAGTCGACTTAAAGAAGTTTTCCGATTGAACTCTGATCGAATTACAATCATTTGGAAAATATCACACATATAGTCAATTATAAGTCCTTTTAAAACTTCAAAAAGTTTTGCAAATTATAATTGTGAAAAATCAACATAATTAAATCAATTACTTCAGCCTAAACTTGGACGTAGGACGTACAAAACATTGATTAAAAACAAATGACCACGGCTCTATTATTCCTTAATACATGATTTTTTTTTGAATGTGTCAACTATAATTAATCAACGGTTCGTAGACATCGTTCTTAGGGTATGGATGGAATTGGCTGATGGACGGAAGCGAGAGAACCTCAATTTTTTCTACAGAAAACGTACTTTTTGCCTCTCAACAAATTTTTTTCTGGTTGGGCAGTACGCGACACAATCACGCCATTTAAAAAAATTCTCAAAAATGAAGCTAGAGCAAAAAAAAGCAAAAAAAGCTCCTACAGCGTAAAAACGCAAAAAACTTCTGCAGGGCTTTCTTTTGTTGGGTTCTGGCTAAGAAAATCTATTGGTCGACCTAAAAAAGCTTTAGAGATGCCTTTCATCATCTCTAAAAGTTTTTTTAGGTCGACCAAATGATTTTCTTAGCCATAACACAACAATTCCATGTCTGCTTCTATAGATCTCCCAGTATTGCTTATAACAAATATTCCCTGCCGCTGTAAACGCTCTGTTAATTTTTTTCATAAAAATTATCCTCAACACGTTATTTTAGTACAAACTGATCATTTTGGCTTAGTTACGTATCACTTCGAAAAAACAGCATGTCCAAGCTTATATTCGAATTTTCTCAAAATGGCAAAATTATCAATTGCCCAAACCATTCGTCACTTTTTTAAAAGTCGGAACAATTGCCATAGAACTAATGGCGCATAAAACTAAATAACTGTTACAAAACAACACAATGCTGCTCGCATATTAGAGTGAAGCCCTGAAAAAACCGAATGAGCTGTAATGCCTTTTTTTCTTCATGTTATCCTTTCACATGTTATGTAAAAAAGAAAACCTGCATTTAATGTCTGTTATCCTAAAATTTGGATCCTCGCGTCAAATTGGATAGGTTTTCTCTGCAACTTACACAGTAACAAAAATGCAAAACATCTCGTGTCAATCTTCACAAAAAAGCCAAAATGACAGCTTTCAAACTCCATAACTTTACAAAAACCAATCATTGATAAATTTTGTCTTATGTATGAGCTCCGGACAGCAATATGCTTTAGATGCTATTTAAATTCCTTAAAATGCTAATTGTTGGTATAAAAATGCTGGTTAAAAAATCATCAAAGTAATTAAGTTAAAAAGTTGAAAACTGACTGAACAAAAAACCACACCAGTTTAGATATTCCGTACTTCATATGACTGACGTAACATCAACACTACTGTAAAACTGCAAAATTTTCAAAGCTTTTTTTTGACAATTAAAGTACTTTTGATTTAAAAATGACGCTGTTTTTGAAATATATACTAGTATGTCCAAGACTTGCTTCTGCGTTTAAAACCGAAATGAATCAAATTGCAATTGAATAAAATTGATGAAGTTAGGAATTTTCCGCGCTTTCTTTCTTTTAACTTTAAATATCTAACTTACTCCCACACGCTATTAACATCACAAGTTGATTAATTTTGCGCCAACTAAGTCTTGCAAAAGACCAAGTACTTGGCCCACTCCATTTTGAAACAATTTTTCAGCCGGGTTATCCCACGTTTTTCTCGTTGAAGGCACACTATTTAACGCGTTAGATGTCATGATTTGGTCCAATTCGCATTTAAAAAACCCTTAACTCTTCAAAGTTCCGGGTTATTTAGCCGAAAATAGTGTGGTGAAAACAATGAAAAACTGTGACGAGGTTCCGGGTTATTTAGCCAAAAATAGCGTAGTGAAAAAATGAATAAAGTTGTGACGAAAAACAAAACTGCGCGTATAAGAGCACTAAAATCTTTAAAATAGCATAAATAAAATTCCATAGAAAACTTGTTAAGAAGTGGAAACTGGGTTGAATAAAAAGTCAACCATGACCTAAATATTTAGACTTAAAAAGAAATTAAATAATCTGGAAAAAAATTGTTAAAAATTAGAGGCAGAGAAAAAAATTGTTAATCTAAAACTACGTTGATTTTGAAATCTTTTTAAAAAAGTCTGTGCAACAAATTACATTACTTACTTCAATTTTGTTGACTCAAAACTTTTCGGCTTATTTCTGCAAATTTTATTTCAACAACTACTTTGAATAGCACAAGCTAAAAAGTATAGAAAAATCAATTTTATGAAAATGTCATTGAATTTATATCTACTCAAGCTGCTTATATAGTTAAAATAAAATGACCGTAAACAATTTGGGAGACAAAATTCGCCAATTATAAGTTATTTTTGATAACAAAATCACTTATTACAATCAATTAAAAAGTATATGCTTTTTTGCAATAAGATTTGATTTTAATTGCCCTGTCACTGAAACAAAACTAAAAATAACTTCACAACGCTCGAAAAAACAAATCTGCATTTTTGCTAATTTTTGTGGTGTATTCTCATATTGGAGGCAAATATTTTAACCAATCAGAATTGTTAGACGTTCCTATTAGCTAAATGACTTTTGCACAAAACCAAAATTTTTATTAACAGAAAATCAATTATAGTAACTATATTAAATGAACCAAGTTAACATCCTGGCCCGCATGGACCAATTGACATTTCCCGTCCCCAACCAAATAAAAGACAAAGTTCACAATTTATTGGACAACTAGCCTGGCCCGCTTGAACAGTCCCCCCACAACCACCCAGTGAAATTTCTCTTCCCCAGCCAACTAAAAAAAGACGAACTCAACAATTTATTGGATAACTAGCCAGTTTGATTGAATTTTTTATACCTTTCGAAATATTGGTGTCCTGGCCTAAAAATTAAAAAGATTTAATCTATGTCTTTTCCTTGTAAAATTGTGGGGGTATAAAGATTGCCAATTTAGCCGATTTGGGACAATTACCTCGCGACAAATAACCCAGGGAACTTTATGCCCCTAAATCAATTGGGAAGATTGTTGATATGATTCAACTTCTTCTCCCAAACACGTTTAGGGAGGATGTTAATTTGCTTTATTTTTTCTGCCAATCAGAACAATGCATTTTACTCGCAGCGGTTAGCAAATTTCATTTAATATTTACGCTGGAGGTGGGCATTTTAACATGGGGTATTTCGACATGATCATAAAAAGTGATAACAAACAAACTTTTTAATAGTTACTTTTTTCCCGAAAAAGGAAACCGTCTGTAACAAATTTTTGACGGTTGGGATGTGAACTAGTCTGCAGTTATTATTAGGGATCAACCGTACCACCTCACTTCCTAACTGTCCTACCGTGAAGCGCCCGTCTCAAGCATGTACAATGGAGTAGGTATAAATAAGGAAATTTTTCTTATAAAAATAGCATGAAATGAAATCGCGCAAATAACATTTTTACATTTTATATGCGGGATTGCTTTTGTATGCTGTCACTTGCTTAGATTCGTGTTTTAATTCAGTTTTTTATGTAAAAAACTTACTTTTCAATAAATTTAGGCTATTCTTAAAGTTGGTTAATAAAGCTCTATGTTTTCTACCCCCTAAATTGATAGGGGGATTGTACTGTTGATAAGATATTAGTTTTGAAATAAAATCATGATCGTTCTGACTTTCGAAGAAATTGACGAAATATTTGTTCTCTGCGGGTAATTTTTGTTCTTTAGAAAAGTTTCGTCTTTGTAACTAGCCATTGTTGACGAAATTTTTTGTTTCAGTCAAAAGATATTGATGTGCTGAGCACAAATTTAAATGATATTTTACCTTTGATATTTTTTATGCTGTTTTGGGTTTTTTTTTGTTAATTGTAGCAAAACTAAAAGACATAAACTATAGGATATACTTTTGAAGAGTCAGTATTTTGATGAAAAAACTTGCTATAGTCGACTTAAAGAAGTTTTCCGATTGAACTCTGATCGAATATATTCGATTATAAGAGATTACAATCATTTGGAAAATATCACACATATAATCAATTATAAGTCCTTTTAAAACTTCAAAATGTTTTGCAAATTATAATTGTGAAAAATCAACATAATTAAATCAATTACTTCAGCCTAAACTTGGACGTAGGACGTACAAAACATTGATTAAAAACAAATGACCACGGCTCTATTATTCCTTAATACATGATTTTTTTTTGAATGTGTCAACTATAATTAATCAACGGTTCGTAGACATCGTTCTTAGGGTATGGATGGAATTGGCTGATGGATGGAAGCGAGAGAACCTCAATTTTTTCTACAGAAAACGTATTTTTTGCCACTCAACAAATTTTTTTCTGGTTGGGCAGTACGCGACACAATCACGCCATTTTAAAAAATTCTCAAAAATGAAGCTAGAGCAAAAAAAAAGCAAAAAAAGCTCCTACAGCGTAAAAACGCAAAAAACTTCTGCAGGGCTTTCTTTTGTTGGGTTCTGGCTAAGAAAATCATTTGGTCGACCTAAAAAAGCTTTAGAGATGCCTTTCATCATCTCTAAAAGTTTTTTTAGGTCGACCAAATGATTTTCTTAGCCATAACACAACAATTCCATGTCTGCTTCTATAGATCTCCCAGTATTGCTTATAACAAATGTTCCCTGCCGCTGTAAACGCTCTGTTAATTTTTTTCATAAAAATTATCCTCAACACGTTAATTTTAGTACAAACTGATCTTTTTGGCTTAGTTACGTATCACTTCGAAAAAACAGCATGTCCAAGCTTATATTCGAATTTTCTCAAAATGGCAAAATTATCAATTGCCCAAATCATTCGTCACTTTTTTAAAAGTCGGAACAATTGCCATAGAACTAATGGCGCATAAAACTAAATAACTGTTACAAAACAGCACAATGCTGCTCGCATATTAGAGTGAAGCCCTGAAAAAACCGAATGAGCTGTAATGCCTTTTTTTCTTCGTGTTATCCTTTCACATGTTATGTAAAAAAGAAAACCTGCATTTAATGTCTGTTATCCTAAAATTTGGATCCTCGCGTCAAATTGGATAGGTTTTCTCTGCAACTTACACAGTAACAAAAATGCAAAATATCTCGTGTCAATCTTCACAAAAAAGCCAAAATGACAGTTTTCAAACTCCATAATTTTACAAAAACCAATCATTGATAAATTTTGTCTTATGCATGAGCTCCGGACAGCATTATGCTTTAGATGCTATATAAATTCCTTAAAATGTTAATTGTTGGTATAAAAATGCTGGTTAAAAAATCATCAAAGTAATTAAGTTAAAAAGTTGAAAACTGACTGAACAAAAAACCACACCAGTTTAGATATTCCGTACTTCATATGACTGACGTAACATCAACACTACTGTAAAACTGCAAAATTTTCAAAGCTTTTTTTTGACAATTAAAGTACTTTTGATTTAAAAATGACGCTGTTTTTGAAATATATACTAGTATGTCCAAGACTTGTTTCTGCGTTTAAAACCGAAATGAATCAAATTGCAATTGAATAAAATTGATGAAGTTAGGAATTTTCCGCGCTTTCTTTCTTTTAACTTTAAATATCTAACTTACTCCCACACGCTATTAACATCACAAGTTGATTAATTTTGCGCCAACTAAGTCTTGCAAAAGACCAAGTACTTGGCCCACTCCATTTTGAAACAATTTTTCAGCCGGGTTATCCCACGTTTTTCTCGTTGAAGGCACACTATTTAACGCGTTAGATGTCATGATTTGGTCCAATTCGCATTTAAAAAACCCTTAACTCTTCAAAGTTCCGGGTTATTTAGCCGAAAATAGTGTGGTGAAAAAAATGAAAAACTGTGACGAGGTTCCGGGTTATTTAGCCAAAAATAGCGTAGTGAAAAAATGAATAAAGTTGTGACGAAAAACAAAACTGCGCGTATAAGAGCACTAAAATCTTTAAAATAGCATAAATAAAATTCCATAGAAAACTTGTTAAGAAGTGGAAACTGGGTTGAATAAAAAGTCAACCATGACCTAAATATTTAGACTTAAAAAGAAATTAAATACACTGGAAAAAAATTGTTAAAAATTAGAGGCAGAGAAAAAAATTGTTAATCTAAAACTACGTTGATTTTGAAATCTTTTTAAAAAAGTCTGTGCAACAAATTTTATTACTTACTTCAATTTTGTTGACTCAAAACTTTTCGGCTTATTTCTGCAAATTTTATTTCAACAACTACTTTGAATAGTACAAGCTAAAAAGTATAGAAAAATCAATTTTATGAAAATGTCATTGAGTTTATATCTACTCAAGCTGCTTATATAGTTAAAATAAAATGACCGTAAACCATTTGGGAGACAAAAGTCGCCAATTATAAGTTATTTTTGATAACAAAATCACTTATTACAATCAATTAAAAAGTATATGCTTTTTTGCAATAAGATTTGATTTTAATTGCCCTGTCACTGAAACAAAACTAAAAATAACTTCACAACGCTCGAAAAAACAAATCTGCATTTTTGCTAATTTTTGTGGTGTATTCTCATATTGGAGGCAAATATTTTAACCAATCAGAATTGTTAGACGTTCCTATTGGCTAAATGACTTTTGCACAAAACCGAAATTTTTATTAACAGAAAATCAATTATAGTAACTATATTAAATGTACCAAGTTAACATCCTGGCCCGCATGGACCAATTGACATTTCCCGTCCCCAACCAAATAAAAGACAAAGTTCACAATTTATTGGACAACTAGCCTGGCCCGCTTGAACAGTCCCCCCACAACCACCCAGTAAAATTTCTCTTCCCCAGCCAACTAAAAAAAGACGAACTCAACAATTTATTGGATAACTAGCCAGTTTGATTGAATTTCTTATACCTTTCGAAATATTGGTGTCCTGGCCTAAAAATTAAAAAGATTTAATCTATGTCTTTTTTTTGTAAAATTGTGGGGGTATAAAGATTGCCAATTTAGCCGATTTGGGACAATTACCTCGCGATAATTTTCGCGGTATTAACGCGTAAGTAGCGACATAAGTGACCAAATATTTAATCATCAATATTCACTAAAAAACGCTTGGTTGAAATTTCGCATCGTTCAATTTGCGAAAAAACAAAATAACCCAGGGAACTTTATGCCCCTAAATCAATTGGGGAGATCGTTGATAAGATTCAACTTCTTCTCCCAAACACGTTTAGAGAGGATGTTAATTTGCTTTATTTTTTCTGCCAATCAGAACAATGCATTTTACTCGCAGCGGTTAGCAAATTTCATTTAATATTTACGCTGGAGGTGGGCATTTTAACATGGGGTATTTCGAC